TGCTTGCCTTCCCTCCCTTTGGGTCATCCCTGTCTATTGTCACAGTCTAACCCTCGGGGTCATAAACAGCTTGAAGCCACTTGCTCCCCTCGCTCTCCGTCCATCTGTCCAGTGACGAATTGAAAATAGTACCCCAGGGCTAATAAACTTGTGATCTCAAGTTACATGTGGGTGCCCAGCTGGCAATCCCTCAGGAAAGTCGTTGGTGTCTTCCCAGTTTTTGGAGTTTTCTGTCAAGAGGAATTGACCCTTATGGTCAAGCCTGTTCCGGATTGGTTAAAGACATGTAGGCCTGTGGAGGCGGAGCCTCACAGGGTAGTGCCTGCCCATGCCATTGGCCCGGTTTCTAGATCACCTAGTCATGTTTAAATCCATTGGCCATAGGATTGTGATAGGCGGAGCTAATTTGGGCCTAGGAACTAGGGGGTGGAGCCTGTCCCACTGGTAAGCGTTTTAATATAGAAGTGTTAGTGTGTCTGGGGGCCTCGACTGAGGTACAGGTCAAGTGACCCGCGGGCAGGCAATCAACATCCTTTGGCAAGCTGCAGTATTGAAGGTATTGTGCACTGATTCATGTCCGCAGTAGATATCCATTGTGCCTCTAGGGGAATAGAATTGGGTATATGTTCAAATTGACTTACCCGATTACAATGGTACAATCAGGGTTATTACACCCTGTCCCCCTCTCTGTACCCCTGTCCATCTCTGTCTCCCTGTCCCTCTCTCTGTTCCCCTGTCCCCCCTCTCTGTCCCCCTGTCCCTCTCTCTGTTTCCCTGTCCCTATCTCTGTCTCTGTCCCTCTATCCCTTGTCCCTCTCTCTGTCCCCTGTACCTCTGTCCTCCTGTCCCTCTCTCTGTCCCTCTGTCCCCCTGTCCCTCTCTCTGTCCCCCTGTCCCCTCTTTCTCTCCCCCTGTCCACCCTTTCTGTCACCCTGTGCCTCTCTGTCCCCCTGTACATATCTTTGTCCCCGACTCTGTCCCCCTGCCCATTTCTCTGTCCCCCTGTGCCTCTCTGCCCCACTGTCCCTCTCTCTGTTCCCCCGTTCCTCTATCTGTCCTCCTATCCTTCTTTCTGTCCCCATGCCACTCTCTGTCCTCCTGTCCCTCTCTCTGTCCCCCCTCTCGGTCCCCCTGTCCCTCTCTCAGCCCCCCTGTCCCCCCTCTCTGTCCCCCGTCCATCTCTGACCCCCTGTCCCTCTCTCTGTTCCCCTGTCCCTATCTCTGTTCCCCTGTCCCTTTCTCTGCCCCCTGTCGATTTCTGGCCCTCATGTATCTCACTCTGTTCCCCTGTCCGTATCTCTGTCTCCATGTCCCTCTCCCTGCTCTTCCTCTGTATCCCTGTCCCTCTCTCTGTCCCCTTGTCCCCCTCTTTCTATCCCTTTGTTCCCCTGTCCCACTCTCTGTTCCCCTGTCCTTCTCTCTGTCCCACCATTCCCTCTCTGTTCCCCCTGTCCCTTTCTCTGTCCCCCCCTGTTCCTCTCTCTCTGTCCTTCGGTCTCTCTTTCTGTCCCCCTGTCACTCTGTTTTCCAGTCTCTCTTTCTGTCCCCCCTGTCACTCTCTGTCCACCTGTCCCTCTCTCTGTCCCCCTGTCCCTCTCTCTGTCCCCCTCTCTGTCCCCATGTCCCCCTCTCTGTCCCCCTGTCCATCTTTGTCCCCCTGTCCCTCTCTCTGTCCCCTGTCCCTCTCTGTCCCCCTGTCCCTCTCTCTGTGCCCTTCTCTATCCCCCCTGTCCATCTCTGTCC